AGCAAAGATTAATTAATCTTTAATTAATAACGTATTCATATAACTGTTCTAATTATTATTATTATGTCTGATAATACCTATACCTATTTCCTTATGCTTTACGTCACAATAATCGCCATTATTTAAGATAATGCTAAAGTCTGTTGCTATGTCGTATAATAAATTGTAACATAAATAGTTAATGTTTTTATAAAGTCAAAGTCAAAGTCAAAATCATTTATTTCAATTAGACCAGGAAGGCACTTCTGAACGTCAAAAAAAAATTTTCAAATATTAAATAATAAGAAAAAATGTCAGTCTGTAGGTCAGTCCTCTAGTGAAGCTATTTGCTCGTTCCAAAGTGTAGATAGATTCCTATGGAGAAGAACGAGCAAGAAACTCCATAGGTTACTCTTTTCCAATCATCATTATATTATCTAAGCATCGCGAGACATACTGAATTAACTACAAATTATGCGTTACTGTACTTAGAAAAGCTTTACTAGTTTCGAATCACAGAAGGACTCGTTTCTAATGAAACTAAAAGAGGTTTTCTCAGGATATTTTATAATTGAGTACTAGCCAACTAGTCAAATTCAATACTTTTTTCTGAACTGTCAAAAATGACAGTTTTCTATGAATTTTGTACGGGTTTGTGTATTGTGACGTCACGTTAACTTAAGGTCCACAGAACACTTATTTCTTAAAAATTCGCTGGAAAAATAATAAAAACGTTATATTTACACACAGACCGTGTATTGTGTTTATTCGCCACAATAGATAGGTCATGCTCCCTCCTGCCGTGCTGATTTATGGTTAAAATATATCTCTGTTTTAAATGAACCGGTAAGACATACATATTTTAAATAATTTCCTGTAATCACCTTTGCAACTTAATTTAGTCATTTTTGTAACTAGCAGTTTGAGGAATCTGATTTGTAGATACTCTAATTTGTTAATATGAGTTTTAAATGTTAAGCCGTAGCTGTCTAGAGCATAACCTATCACTGATTCAACTAAAGATAAATACAGGCATCTTAAAATATTTATAGGGGACTTTGTAACTTAAATGATAAGACTTGCTAAGCAATATTCTTAATTTACTCTAATATATAATCTATATGACAAGTCCACGAAAAACTTTCATCTATTTTGACACCGAGATACGTATTTTTTTTTTTTTTATGCCATAAGCCGGTAAACGAGCAGACGGATCACCTGATGGTAAGCAATCGGCGTCGCCCATGGACATCTAGAACACCAGAGGCGTTACAAGTGCGTCACCGGCTTTTTGGGGATTAGGAGTTTGAGGATCGTTGGGGATTCAGGGATTGGGGAAGGGGAAGGTAATTGGGCCTCCGGTAACCTCACTCACACGACGAAACACAATGCAAGCGTTGCTTCACGTCGGTTTTCTGTGAGGCCGTGGTATCACTCCGGTCGAGCCGGCCCATTCGTGCCGAAGCATGGCTCTCCCACACTTTTACGTACACGTAACAGAATTAACAGCTTCAATAGGTTTGCAGTTACAGTTTAACATAAGATCATTATTTTTTTAAAGGAACGTACCTAATTGGGCCTCCGGTAACGTCACTACACGTCAAAATATTATTATTTAGTGCTTTATCTAACTTCTAAGTACTCGTTCGTCGTAGCAGTGGTAGCACGGAGTCTGGAATTATACCCGGTATAGGCTCACAAATGGGTCTCAATACATAAATAGTGAAAAGTGGGTGTTACATTGTACAGTGGCAACAAGTGCCGTAATGTCCCCTACCCCTTCGGGGATAAAAGGCGTAATGTTATGTCAGGTATATTTCACCAACGACTGAATTTCTTTCCTGCCTTCCTATATCTATATAAATAAAAATGAATTTCTGTTCGTTAGTCTCGCTAAAACTCGAGAACGGCTAAACTGATTTGGATAATTTTGGTCTTGATAGGTTCGTGGAAGTCCAGGGAAGGTTTAAAAGGTGAGAAAAAACTTTTAGGCGGTACGAAGTTTGCCGGGTCAGCTAGTAAGAAATAAATAAATAAAATAAAAATAAATTTATTAAAAAAACATAGAACATGTTTACAATTACATATCGCTCAGATTTTATCGTAATATAGAGGTATAGTCTTAATAATAACAATCGTAACAGTTAAAAGTACTTCATATATAAACTTATTGGTATACATAATTACATATGTTTTCAATTAAAATAAGTTAATAATGCGTTGCGCGGAACTGCACGTAGGTCGAGGATTCGATTAATTAAAATTATCCTAACCTGGGAATTCTCAGGTTTAATTTATAATGAAACATGTTAGTCATAATAATATAATCTACATTAATATTTTAAGGAGGAAATATTTGTTTCTTTTATATTTATTTGTTTCAATTAAATAAACTCCGAAACTACCGGACCGATTTGTATAATTCTTTTATCGTTGGAATCCTACATTATCTCTGATGAACATATACTATAATAGGGTACTTTAATGTCCGTCTGGTACATTAATTCAAAACACTAGACCCGTATTTTTCTTTAGTCACAAAATTAAATACGATATATTAATTTGAAATATCGTGTGACGTCACAGCGTGCTACGTTTTGTGCATCACGATATGACGTAACGACCTCCCACTCCTAAACTTAACGCCATTTTATCTAAGTATTGTTTTCTTATACCAGAAAAAAAAAATATTTGTCTAATATAAATGTAAGGCAATTATTTATTTTTACAATTTATTTTAACAATTACTAGCAGCCTGTCCCGGCTTCGCACGGGGTAGGCAATTATTTATTTTTGGGAATTTGGATTGTTGTAGTGACATAACTACAATAGTTGGACATATGCTACCGCGGAGTTTTTTGTAGACATTATGATGTTCTTCAATATTGTTGTACTTTATTTTGTTCTATCGCTAATAGTTTCGGCAGCGCATTCGACGAAAGACATTTTAAGACTCAATTTTTCTACACCTTCGATTACATTGTTCAAATTTTACCAAGGATCCCTAATTTTTTTCAATATGAAATGTAGCCTATGTCAAATTGGAAGAATGTAGCATTCTATTGGTGAAAGAATTTTTTAAATCGGCCCAGTACTTTTTGAGCCTATTCATTACAAACATACAAAAATAAGTACAAATCTTTCCTCTTTATAATATTAGTATAGATATAGGTATATTTACGTTTAAAAAACCGACTTAAAAGCCCTCTTTCTTAGGTTGGTTTATTAATATGTCAAAACCTTATCCTAAGTACAGCAAACATTTTTCTGAAAACCTTTTTAAAATCGGTTGATCTAATCGCGAGATTATCTCGCACAAGCACAGATACACACACACGTACAGGTCAAACTGCAAAACCTTCTTCTTCGCCGTTTTAGAATTCGGTTCAAAATAAATTAAAAAAATATTTTTAATTTCAGAACTATACGAGATAAGTCCGTACGCGCAGTTCGCAGTGGGCTTCAGAACCTTCGGCCATGTCGAAAACCAGGACATGCCGAGTCGACATACGAAACATAGATATGATACAGGTAATTTGTTATTATTTTATTTTTTTATTTTTTTATGCCATAAGCCGGTAAACGAGCAGACGGATCACCTGATGGTAAGCAATCGGCGTCGCCCATGGACATCTGGAACACCAGAGGCGTTACAAGTGCGTCACCGGCTTTTTGGGGATTAGGAGTTTGAGGATCGTTGGGGATTCAGGGATTGGGGAAATTGGGGAAGGGGAAGGTAATTTTTATAATAACTATCGTGAGATATACAAAATTAACTAAAAATAGCGGGTTACTCAAGTGAATATACTGAGAAAACCTCTACTAGTTTCGAACCACAGAGGGGTTCATCATGAGCAACGTGCGCGGTCGCGGCGATGTCGCGCAGCCTACTGTAGTATGTAGGAGTAGGCAGTGCGATATCGCCGCAAAAGAACCCATCTGTGGTTCGAATCTAGTAGAGCTTTTCTCAATATATTCACATAAGTAGCCCGCGATTTTTAGATTATTTATTATTACTTTGTTCTAGTCCTTTCTGTAGTCTTTTCTACTGGATTTCATAATAAGATTATTTCATTAAACAAATTGTTACATCAGCCATTTGTTAATACAAATTACTATTACGTCATCACTAGTCATAATCCACAACCATTGCTGAACTTGACAGCATGGTCGATTCGATTCCCCCACGGAACAACTCTTTGTGTGATCCACAGATTGTTGTTCCGGGTCTGGGTGTCATGTGTATTCGAACTTGTATGTTTGTAAACGCACCCACGATACAGGAAAAAATCGTAGTGTGGGGCAAGTTTAAAAAAAAGCTGGATGTACTTCACATAAGGCAACGTTTTTAAAAAACTATGATTGTCTTTACATTGTTCTCACATATACGTACAGTATTGGAATATGTATCAGACACATTGTAGAACATACTTTTAAAAAGCGTAACGAATGCAGTTTCTTGCTCGTTCTTCTCCATTCGAATCTACATTTTGGAATGAGCACCTAGCTTCACTGACGGACTATTATTTATTTTATATTTGTTGACTGTCTCATAAGCCTAGTGGTCGCAAGTGCGACTGCCGGGCAAGGGGTCTCGGGTTCGATTCCCGGGTCGGGCAAAGTATTACTGGGTTTTTCTAAAAAATCACAGTAATAGCACGGAGTCTGGAATTGTCATTGTGTCCGGTATATGGCAATAGGCTCACCCCCTATTACATGGGACTATTGAGATTTAAAAAAAAAAAACTCAGTAATACTTTGCCCGGCCCGGGTATTGAACCCGAGACCCCTTGCCCGGCAGTCGCACTTGCGAACACTTGGCCAACGAGGCAGTTAGTAAATTTTAAGTTGTAAATATTTAAGTAACTATGAACTGAATACTAAGTACCTACTGCTGTAACGTTATTTATTTATTTATTTATTTAAGCTTCATGCACAATGTGTACATTAGGTGGACTTAATGCCGCAGGCATTTTCTCCCAGTCTGACCTTTGGGTGATGCAGAGAAGTCAATATGGTGTGAGCAAGAAGCAAGCAACGTTATAATTCATAGGACACTATCATCATCATTATCATCATCTTTCTTTCTATATTTTCTGTTGAAGTTATGTGACTTTTGAGTCTAATACTATGACATTTTTTCTTCCAGAAACGAGTTTCCAAGTATGTTCAGAGTCTGAGGACAGCGATAGCATATCAAAGTCCACATTAAAAAGTGTTCCTAGAAGTAAGTATATATTTTTTTATTTTCAGGACAATCTGGTTGGTCAGCCGTTGGTAGAATAATTGCTAGTGCTATTGGTTTCACAGTTTTATCATCTTATACTTCTTATCTTTATATATATAATTCTTCTGTGAGTGTGTATGTCACTGAACTTCTCTCAAACGACTGGACCGATTTTGATGAAATTTTTTGTGTGTTTTCAAGGGGATCTGGGAATGGTTTAGATTCACAAATCAGCCCGGCAGATGGCGCTGCAGTCGATGTTTAGGTTACTTATCCTTAACAGCTGAACTAATTTAAATGAATTTTTGTTTATACATTCCACTGGATATGCAGGACAACGTCTGTTGGGTCTGCTAGTATCTTATATTATTATATAAAACCAAAGAGTTTGTTTTTTTGTTTGTTTGTTTGAACGCGCTAATCTCCGTAACTACAAGTCTGATTTGAATAATTATTTTTGTGTTGGATAGCGCATTTATCGAGGATGGCTATAGGCTATAAAACATCACGCTACGACCAATAGGAGCTGAGAAACCTGTGAAACCGTGCGGAAGTAGCTAGTAGACGATAAAACTCAAGATTTAAAGTTCAAACATTTTCAATAACAGCTCGAGTAGCTTTTATCTAGTGTGTAATCAAATGCGATGATAAATCTATATAAATAAAAATGAACTATATTCATTACTCTCGCTAGAACTCGAGAATGGCTGAAAACCGATTAGGCTAATTTTGGTCTTGAAATGTTCGTGGTAGGCCAGGGAAGGTTTAAATTTCAAATTTTAATTTTGTTAGGCGATACAGAGTTCGCGTGGGTCAACTAGTAATAAATTATAATTAATGCATAGTAATTCATAAAAAAATTATATAAGAAAAGAGTAAGACTGCCTCGTTGGCCGAGTGGTCGCAAGTGCGACTGCCGGGCAAGGGGTCTCGGGTTCGATTCCCGGGTCGGTCAAAGTATTATTGAGTTTTTTAAATTTCTCAGTAGTAGTACGGAGTCTAGCATTGCGCCCGGTACTTATATGGCAATAGGCTCACCCCCTATTACATGGGACTCATAACATGAATAGTGAAAAGTGGGTGTTACATTGTACAGTGGCATAATGTGCACCTCTGCCTACCCCTTCGGGGATAAAAGGCGTGATGTTATGTTATGTTATGTGTAAACAAAGTAATATATAATAATAAATAAAATGTTATCTAATACATTTTCGTTCTTCCAGAAGCCTGCAGAACACCACATCATAGGTAACTAGACAACGAAGAAGTTTAAAAAAAAAATAGACTCAAAGGACCACCAAATTAATCAACACACCAGCACATGAAGTTACCACCAAACCACCGATCAATTTTCAACTTTATTACAACAGGATAATAAAGTTAAAACTCCATTCAATAAAGGAGTATGTTGATGAGCTGTTAAAGTCAATAGTCAAAGACAAAATCATTCGAAAAGGCACTTTTGAACGTCAACAAAAAAATTAAAAGTGAAGCTATTTGCTCATTCCAAGGTGTAGCCTCCTATGGACAAGAACGAGCAAGAAACTCCATAGGTTACTCTTTTTCAATTAGGTTCACAATACAATTCTCTAGTTACATAGTTTTGTTGTTTGGATTGTGCGAGAACAATGTAACAAGAAAATACAGTCAAAGAGATCGAGATAAAGGACCGTAAAAATACAGTCTGGAAGTGACCAGTCCCTGTTGACGGCGCCCGATCACGAACATGACACGTACACCAGCACCATTGTTGCCTACAATGACTTGAATGATCAATCCATTCATAACGGCTTCATATACCTACATAACTTTAATTCGCCAGATATTTATACTAATTTTATAGTGAAAACCTTTTCCCTAAATAACTAAATTTCATATTTAACATATGTTTTTCCCTATAACAATAAAAGTATTAGTCATGCTCATTCAAAATCAGTATCAGTATAATAAAATAAAGTAGTGCACTGAGTGCACTGAGTGCACTACTTTATTTTATTGTACGAAAGAAATATACAGAGCGGATATGAATGGGGCCGTCGGTAGAGGGCGCCCTAGACGGACATATAGTGACCAGATTGGCGATATATTAAAGAAGGGCCAAATTAAAAGTACCCTTAACCGACGAGCATGCATGAAAAGATTGATGACTGTTAATGAAGCGAAAGAGGTATGTAAGAATCGTAGTAATTGGCGTTCCTTAGTCTCTGCCTACCCCCATGGGAGACAGGCGTGAAGTTATGTATGTAGTGCACTCACTCAAAATAAGTATAATAAAATAAAGTCGAAAATTATGTGATTGTTAAAAAGTGCCAAAACAATGATGTTCGCGAAGGTAATCTCTATTTATTTATGCGAAAAATGTTTTGGAATAATAGTAGATATTTTACGCAAATCGTTTCATGTTGACAATTACTTAAATTAAATTTATTGCCAGGTACACATTTTATGTCACACTAATGTCGGAATACTGAAACGTTACTCAATTTTAGGTCGCGCTTAATTATAGTTTTATCTCCACTAATTCTTTTTAAAGACAGAGATGGCACGATATTTAAGCACGACTTAAAATTGAGTAACGTTTCAGTATTCCGGCGTAATTTAAACAATCTGAGTGAAGTCTAGTAGTAGGTACGAAAACAAAAACAAGACAGCCAAATAATAAAAATGAGGTCAGTCAAAACTCGACTTTCAAAATAAAAAAGGAAAAATAAATCTCATTGTAACATTAAGGACAAAATTCATTAGATGCAACTTTTTATCCACATTTGCAAGCTAATCAATAATAATAATAATAAAATAGCTTAATTAGTTTAGTTTTAGTTTGAAACCATTGCATAGTATTACCAAGACATTTCGCTTAAATATCTTTAAATAATGTACATAATTGAATAATGAATTCCTCGTGAATTTTGTCCATAATGACTTTAACATCTTTGAGTGATGTCAAGATAACTGAATTGCTATTGTAATTGAATATGCGAATGAAAGCCCAAATATGGTGCAAAATAATGTAAAACTTGGGTTTTTTGGAGTTTTGTGAGTCAAATTATCGTTTTTATGTACTGTTGCGATGTCTAACAGTCAATATGAACCTGGTCACATCATCAATTACGTCATAAAATAAATATAGAACGCCTACTTCATTTAAAACTACCTAAGATTCAAGAGTATTCAACTAAGGGCCAATTTTTCCAACGCCAAATAAATTTTAACTTTTAAGCGTGGAAAGGAAATTAATAAACTCAAGGAGACAGAGATTCAGATAATGAGAACAGATAGTACAAGAAAACGAAAACTGTGCATTATTAGTAATTGTAATCAGAACGGTACATTAGACATATTAGAGAACACGTTTGGCCAGCACTTTGAGTATTGTCATTACTCGTATGGTAATAGTAGCTTAAATAATATTTTATCTAATATTTCGAAAAAAATTCATGGTTTTGGTATGGACGATTACTGCATTATTATGATTGGAGAAAGGGATTTCAAAGATTCTGATGGATCTTTGGAATTAATTAGATTGATTAGGGAAACTTTAAAGAAAATAACTTACACTAATGTGATTTTATGCTGCCCCACATACATACAAGGGGCTCTGATACATAATTATAAAGTGGAAATGTTCAATAGTTTACTTTGTATGGACATAGAAAACAATAATTATGCCTATTTTGTTGACAGTAATCGCGAGCTTACCGATGAAACATTCTCGTATAGAACCGGCAAAGTTAATAAACTCGGCTTAAAACGTATTTGTGAAGGTATTTTTCAACGCTTACTTGTGGACATTGAAATGTATCCGATTGCATCCGATTATCCACCTAAACCGTTGAGAACTCATAAAAATACTCTTTTTCGTCCCGTTATGTAAAAAAACATTCAGTAACTTTAACAATCGATTCGAGGGAAAACAAAAGTTTATATTATTACACCAAAACATAGCCGGGATTTTAAATAAGATAGATGTATTTGAGGTTGCAATCACAGAGTTGGCAAGCCAGATCGGCGTTATTGATTTCATCTGTCTTTGCGAAACTTTCATTAAATCAGGCCATGAAAGTAATCTAGTACTCCCAAACTACACTTTAGCGGCTAGTTATTCAAGACAAAGACAAAAACGAGGGGGTACATGTGTTTTAGTGAAAAAAGGTTATAGTTTTAATACGTTAACAATAGTAGATGAACTGGCCACTGATTTTTGTTTTGAATGTTGTGCCGTTGAAATTTTGAACCATAATCTTATTATAGTATGTATTTATAGAATTCCAGATTCTGATTTATCTATATTTTTTAGAAAACTTGAATTATTGTTAGGAAAACTAACGCATAAAAGTAAAAATCATATAATCTTGTCTGGTGATTGGAACATAGACATATTGAAAAACAATAAATATTCAAGAGAATTAATATCAATTCTAAATAATTACAACATTACGGCACATATTAAAATGCCTACCAGGAAAAATGCAAGTATAGATCAAATAGCCAGTAACTTGCCCACACTCGATTTAAAAAGCAATATTCATGGGTTGGCACTTTCTGATCATGATACCGGCCAAACATTAACATTCCGTCTACATAATATTGTGAAAAATATATCAAAAAATTGTAAATTTTGGTATGACACCAAAAGAGATTTTAGTGTGGATAACATAAATAAATTTTTACAATGTTTAGAATCACTAAGTTTTGATGAGGTGTATAAAGAGACAGACTGCGACAATGCATTCAGGGAATTTCACGACCTATTTATTTTATTTCACAAATTATGTTTTCCAGAAATACGAGTTAGATCAAACAACAAATTAATAAAAAATAAATGGCTTAGTAAGGGCTTAAGGGTATCTTGCATCAGAAAACGAATGCTATATTATGAATACCAACACAACGCTGTAAACAAAGTCTACCATAAAAAAAAATACCGCCATTATACAAATATTTTGAAGAAATGTATAATAAAATCACAACAAATAAACAATAATAATTATTTCTTACATTCTAAAAATAAATGTAAAGCCACGTGGTCTATAATAAAAAATAACCTAAACAAACATGTTAACAAAAATGACATAAGCGATATAAAAGTTAATGATAAAGTAATTACTGATCCCACTGACATATCTAATCATTTTAATAACTTTTTCATTGAACTCACGAAAACAAATAATTTCAACAATAATTTAGATGTAAATAATATTAACATGACCACTAATATAAACACATTGTTTTTGACACCAGTGAACGAATCTGACATAATAAAAATTATTAATTCCCTAAACAACACAAATTCTACGGGATATGATGAAATTGATACAAAAACAATAAAGTTAAGCGCGAAAATCATAGCACAGCCACTTAGCTACTTGATTAACCTCTCGTTTGAACAAGGTGTATTTCCAACTAGACTGAAAGAGTCCATAATAAAACCATTATACAAAAAGGGCAAACACAACGATCTAAATAACTATAGACCTATTACATTGATACCAGTATTTGCAAAAATTTTTGAGAAAGCCATGCATGTTAAAATGTCCAGCTTCCTAAACAAACATAATCTAATTGTGGAGAATCAGTTTGGTTTCAGAAAACAGAGTTCAACAACATTAGCCAGTTATTCTTTAGTAAAACGAATTAGTGAAGCTCTTAATAATAAAATGTCAACTTTATCAGTTTTTCTAGATATGAGCAAAGCATTTGACTTTGTCTCACATAAACGTCTACTTTACAAGCTAGAAAAATATGGTATAAGAGGTAAATCTCACGATTGGTTCAAAAGCTATTTGTCCAACCGCCAACAAAGGACTGTTATCTCTAAAATTGTAAACAGTACTAGAATAACATATAGCTCCGAATTAAAAAATAACAACTCTGGCGTACCACAGGGGAGTGTACTGGGCCCGCAGCTGTTCATAATATATATAAATGACCTATCACAATGTCTTAAACATAACTGTGTTCAATTTGCGGATGACACTACATTGACGATAGGATGTTTGGAAAAAACGGATATGGAAACTGAAACTAATACTGAATTAACAAATGTAATGAAATGGTTAGAAGACAATAATCTGCAAGTAAATATTAATAAAACAAAATTAGTTAAATTTCAAACATATAACTCAACAATTATACCGACAGCAATACAACACAAAAATACTATTTTACAACCAGTACAGTCGGCTTTATTTTTAGGTATTGTAATTGACAACAAACTCGATTGGAAAGAACATATAGAAAGAGTGTGCAACAAGTTAGATAAGTTTGTGTATGCCTTGAAAAAACTTAGGTTAGTATCCAGTAAAGAAACAAGTCTAAATGCCTATCACGGTTATGTT